AGGTAATAAGATTTTAAGCTTTTTTTTCAGTATTCATTTACTTATTTTAACCTCAAAAAAAGAAAATCAAAATCTTTTAAAAATAAAGCTCCTATATAAAGACAACTAATCGTATTTTTTAATATTTTAAGCGATTTTATTTTGATAAAATATTTGATTTTAAGCCTAGCATACCTCACTGCTTATAAATAAGTTAGATCCTAAATCTAGTATTAATTACATTTAGTTTGTTAGCTTATTATTAATATTAGAAAGGTACTTAACTAATAACTTTTTGCTAAGAATTATTAATTTTGGTCATATATAAATATAGAATAATTTTCTTTGATACATACTAAAGCTGATAACCTCTATCTAAAGCTGAGTTTATAAAGTTAATTAATTAGATTTGAATGAAATAAAATCTTTTCTCTTTAGCTATACTAATTTTTCTTAAATCTTTTCTTTATGACATTTTGGTTATTGTGAAAATTTCTGAATTAGCAAAGTTAACTTTGGATTTGCCCATCATATAACTTATGTATCTTGCATTATAAATTTAATTGCCCTAAAATATAATAAAGCTCGCGAAATATTAATATCAAATTTAAAAAAAAATTGTCACATGATTATTTTTTATAATTACACCCCTGCAGTATATTTACAATTTACTTCTTCTTGATAACCTCGATTTTATTTTTTTTCTCTTTTAAAACGCTAATTATCTCAAAATGGCAATGGCAGCAGCATCAGCGAAAAACCGGAACGTAAGTACAATGTCATCCACTAGCTTATTTACATTTTCTAATAGCAATTCTGCATTTGATCTATTAGGCCCGGTTACCACCCGAAGTAAATCGAGTATTATTTGTGAGAAATCTTCCATTTAATATTACTTCTGAGGAAATGTACGATATTTTTGGAAAGTATGGTGCAATACGTCAAATTCGACTGTAAGTTTTTTTACTTCGTCATAAATCAATACGATTATTTTATAACAAAGTTTTCTATTTGTAGAGGATGCGAAAAAGATACACGCGGAACAGCATTTGTAATATATGAAGATATATTTGATGCGAAAGCTGCTTGTGATCATCTTAATGGGTTCAATGTTATGGGTAGATATCTTATTGTACTTTATTATCAACCTAATAAAGTTACTAAAAAGATGAACCTACAGAAAAAAGAAGAGGAACTAAGAGAATTGAAGAGGTTAAACTTACAACTTTTTATTTATTTTATTTTATTTTAATCCAATTATAACCAATTAATTATTAAATTCTTTCTTTAATAGTCGATATGGCATACCTGATCAAGATTAATCAACTAAAAAATAATTACGAGAATTTATGTAGTGGGACAGTTAAATTTATGTGAATAATATAGTCAGTAAACCCTTTTCATATCCTGCAACGTACCATTTTTAACACTTGCACACAAATATAATATTTTTATATAACAACACGAATGAATTAAACTCCACATAGATAGATAGAATTTAATGTTGAATATCATCCCATTCTCTCCCTCTAACTTTTGACAAGTCTTCTTTGGAAGGAACTCTTCCACCACTAAAATATCCGTCCGCAATTTTGGCATCAATTTCAACTCTAATAAAGTAAGGGTCCATTAGTATATTCAAATCATGATCATCAAATAAAAGATGTATTTAATATTTAATTTACCGGGAATCTGATGGAATCAATTCATCAGGAATCGGAACACGTTCATGAATAGCAATTCCAGACCCAACGATGGCCTCGTATTTCATATTTGACATTGACATCATTCGATCAATCTTAGTGATACCTAGCCAATGCAACACATCGGGCATCAACGCTTGAAACCTCATGTCTTTAACACCGGCAACATTTTCTTTTAAAACAAATTTTTTTTAGATTGATTTTAAAAATGACATTCGTTAAATGTATTAAATAAAGATACCTGTTCGCAGGAAGTAATTATCAGCAGTGTCACCTTCCGCAGAACGCTTACGGGCGTTATACACAAGATATTTCGTGACTTCTCCTAGAGCGCGTCCTTCTTTACGGACTTATAAATCACGTGATTAGAAAAGAGTCGTATGATCATAATTCATTATAATATTTAACGCTTACAGTAGACTATGACTCCGGATCCGCCATTTTGAGCTTCCTTTACGCATTCTTCCATACCGAAAATCAAGTATGGACGACAAGTACAAATATCTGATCCAAATACATCGGATCCATTACATTCATCATGTACTCGTACTGTCAATTTCTTGGAGGGATCACTTACATTTTTTGGATTACCAAAGATATAAACAGAAAGACCTCCAATTGGAGGCAAATAGACTTTAAGATCTGGTCGTGTAACTAATTCTGGATACATTCCACCAGTATCTTCAAAAAGAGCCCGACGTAATAACCCTTCATCAATACCAAATCGCGCAGCTACACCAGGCAAATACCATACAGGCTCAACTGCAGCCTTTACAACATTTAGCTCTCCTCCATCTAAAACTACTTTGCCATCAACCTTTAATTTTCCTTCTTTAACATAGTTCTCTATTTCTGCCAGCTTCATATGTGCTTTAGTAATAGCAATAGTTGGACGAATATCAATTCCTTGAGAAGTTTGATTGGCAAAACACGTTGTTGTAAGATGACCAAAAGGATCAAACGAGACAATTTTATCTGGATTTCCCCATTGTGGATGAGGTCCTATTTCTACCGAAGGTTCAGTATTTTTAAAGTCAGGTTGGTGATTTGGGTCAAGTGCTCTCATAGCGACTGCTAATGCACGATAAACACAATATGAACCTCCATAAGCGCCAATAGCATTACTACTTAAATAAGTTATTGAGTAACTGGAAAAATAACATTAAAAAAAAGGTGTTGTGAAAAAATTACATACCGGATTTTGATACTTTTAGGATGGCGAGAAGCTACAATTGGACCACGAACAATTGGATCCAATTCACCCCATTTAAGCGAGATAGGCTTAATACCAAATTGATCAGGATATGCTATAAATTTATCACAGAGAAAATCTTCAACATATAATTATAAAGTGAAACACGAATTGAATAATATAAAGGTCCTTACTTGTAAGTATTACTCTGTCACTATATATTGACTGTCCAGTCGAACTGGTATTAGGTACTAGACCAGCTTTCGACTGTATTTCGTTTTCTATAACTATAATAAAAGAGATTGTAGTTGCATTCCAAAACAAAAAAAAAAAATGCATTAACCCACCTTTACTTGTAATTACTGTTGTTTTGGTAGTATTGGTCGCAGGATCATGTTTTTTTTGAAGTTTTTTCAGTTCTTCATTATTATGAGCTTGGTACAAATCAAACTAAACGAAAAAAAAAATAATTTTAATATATAGATCCAGGTTAAAAATTTCAGTTTAGATAAATCAAATACCTTAGAAGCTAATAATTCTTGATCTTTCTTCAATGCATCAACAGATTCCAATATCTTTTGAAGTATTGTTTCATTTATGTTATGAGAATCATGGGTCGCCATTTATGCTTGTTTCTATATAGTTTTGTTTTCTTGGTGGTCGTTAAATGAATATATCCAAATTTGTTAATCGGTTAAAAACCTTAACCTTAATTAATCATGCATTAGTCAACTTTCGCACGCACCCACGTACATCGATCCTCGAATTATGACGAGGATAGTTTTGCATTGTAATTACAATATAGATCTGCAAAACTGGTTACGTTATCATTCGATTGGTTGCATTGAGTAACGTAACTGAGACAGATACAGTATTAAATGTTTTTCAGTTCTATACCGAAAATTGTTATCAAACATGTCTCACATTCACGCTTCCAATCACCCTTTAATCGCTCATAAGATATCTATTCTTCGCAATAAGAATATCAAGCCAAAACAAGTAAGAGAACTTATGCATGAAATTGGTCAACTTCTTGCGTACGAAGCTACTGCTGACTTACCTCTTAAAGCTGCAGAACCTGTAAGTGTAATTTTTAAAATTTCGAAAATTTCAATAACTCAGCACAACTTAATTATTTATTTAATGCTTATGGCATATTTTGTTCACAGCAACAAAGTCCCTTGAGTACATATTCGGTAGTTAAATTGGCACCTAGAATAGGACTTGTTCCTATATTGAGATCTGGTCTTAGTTTTGTAAATGGTATGAGTTTTTCTCATTCAAATTTACTTTTATCATCTATATTAATTTTTTTTTTTAAAAAAAAAAGCCGTGCAAGAATTGCTTCCATCTGCTAGAGTTTTACATCTTGGAATTTTCAGAGAAAAAATTTCACTTCAACCTATAGAATATTATAACAAATTACCCTCAGAACCTAACATTGATCAAGTTATAGTTTTAGAACCAATGATTGCTACAGGAGGAACCGCTACCGCGGCAGTCAGCATTCTAAAAGATTGGGGAATAAAATCAACGATTAAATTCATTACGGCAGTGGCTTCTCGTCAGGTAAAACCAAATTGAGGAAAGTAAAGATTGAATCTCTAAATTTAAGTTTATTTTTATTTGTTTAGGGTCTCGATAATCTTCACCAAAAACATCCGGACGTAGAAGTTTTCGTGGGTGTGATCGATGAAATTTTGGATAGTAATGGGTAAAGAATTCATATATTATATCGCTATAAATATTAGTAGATATTTTCATGAAATTCACATTTTTCATTTCATTTATTTAAAGTTATATTGTTCCTGGACTAGGTATATCTTTTATTTGTTATTTTGAATATATTTATATAATTTCATTTAATTGTTTCTTTCTTTTAGGCGATGCCGGTGATAGGTTACATGACACTCCAAGTGCATAATTAAATAGTGACGTCATACTTTTTATATTTAAAATGCGACCTTTTTTTATTATTTTTTTTTAAATTTTTTTTTCTTTTTTTTAGGTTTGATTCGGATAATCAATTCAATAAATTAATACTTTCATTAATTAAGTAAGACATTCGAGTTCGAAATGATAACTAAAATTGTCCATTTCTCGAGGGGACAAATTTTTTCCCAAAATTATTTTCTTTTCCTTCCCTTCTTTTTGGAAGATGACGAAGTTGAACCACTAGATGAAGTAGGTTGACCACTACCTGCAGCAGCAGTAGCCAAAGCACTTGAACTATTACTAGTACTAGCTCCACCAATATCACCACCACCTTTTCCTTCTTTTAATATACCACTAAAGGTTGCAGGAGAATGACTTGGTGGAAATTGTTGTGGATTAATTTTTTGAATTTTTGATAATTCTAGTGCTACACTTTTAATCAATTCCTTACCTTTTTTTTAAAAAAAAGAAACAATGTTTTCAATTATTTTCTTAAAAAAATTAAAAAAAAATATCAACGAAAAAAGCAATGCTTATTTAATAACTTTTTTAAAACTTACGATTCGAAATTTCTGACCTAAAAGGTCTTTTATTTTCAGTAAATAATTGTACGCGCACTCTACCAGGATTTTCCCAATCACGAGGATGTGTTTTATGTGGCTAATTATTACAATAAGGTTTTATAAAGGAATCCTATTAATTATAAAGATTTTTATTTGTATAATAATACCTCATATAAACTATTTAATCCTATAATTTTTACAGCTTCTGCAATATCTTTTGCTAAAGGATGTGGAGAAGCAATATCTTTGATAACTTTTCTTCCTTGTTGTACAGATTTTGTTGAATCGAAATAAACAGGGTATAAACATGTCCAACTTTAACAAAAAGGTAAAAACCATATTAATAAAATTAAAGCAAAATGATGTCCACTTTTTCTCGAAAATAAGTTAGTATATATAATTACGATTTATATGCACTATCGTCGTCTGTGGTTACCCTTGAAAATTCGGGTAAAAAATCTGGTGGGTCATCATCATCCAACTCCATCATTGGAATTGTAGGAAACATGTTTGGAGGATTTTGTTTTTTTGTACCTTTTGACATTATTATTATAATTTACAGAAAATAAAAAAGAGAAATAGGAAAGGAATTTATTCTTTTTTTTTTTTTTAAGAAATTGCATTTAAATTTAAATTTAATTGCCCAATGAAATCGTGTACTACATTAACTCGGAGTCCATGAACATGTTTCATTTTTAAAGTTTCTTTTTAAAAAGTACGTTTATAAAATAAAATTCTTCAAATTACTAAAATTACCTAAAGAAAAAGAAATTATATATTTATATTATTTAAGAAGTTTTACCCAAAGCACCTTGAAGTGCTTCATAAACCTCTACTTCAATTCTAGCTGCTGCCTTTTCTTCTTCTGTGGAAGCTGTTGAAGCGACACGTTGTGCCTCTGCCAGGTTTGTTCTAACGTTCTAATTAAAATTGTTTAATATGAAATTTATAAACGAGAATAAATATATAAAGTCGAATGAGAAATTTTCGGTTGTTGAAAGTTTTAAATGATCCAAAAATTTACCTCGATTGAAAATTCCTCCAAAGGAAAAGCTTCAATCGCATTGATATCAAGTGATGAATTTGGATTGATAATGGCAAATCCTCCACTAACTAAATAATTAGGAATAGATTAATCAAAAGGATTTTGAAACACCCCAAAAAGACTTCTATTCAACAAATTATACAATAAATTATATACGCACCAAAGTATTTTTTGATTGTATTAGGATTTTCTAATACCTCAATAACACCTGGTTTTAATTGTTCAATGGATGGAACATGATTTGCTAAAATACCCATATCTCCCGCCGTCGAAGCAACGTTCACTTGTTGCACTTCAACATTTGAATAAATTGTCTAAAAAAAGTTGAATGAATTAAAAGGTGTTCAAATAGTAACCTAATAAAGAAAAGTAAAATTTTTAATTATTTTACCTGGTGAGGAAGTGCAAAACTTAAACGTAGTCTATCACCTGAACCAGCTGGTGCTTCAGTAGCATAATAGCGAACTAAGAAAAATATACGAGCTTAATTATAATTCTCTAAAAAATTCATGGAAAAAAAAAAGCGAGAGAATAAAGTACCTGCCTGAGGTGCAAGGCTTAATACGGAATGCAGCTCTGGCTGTTCTGGCTAGAAAGCTCATTTTTAGTAAATTATTCGAAAGATACAGAATTTTTTTTTTTTTGTGGAAAAAAATAAACCTGATTTCACGTGATTTACATGTTGGTCAAAATCAAAATTTCACAAATTTTAACGCGTTCCCCCCATCGAAAGTTAACTGCGTAAAATTATACAATAAAGTGCCTTTATAATGAGTTCATTCTTTCAGAATAAAGGCATCACCTACACCAGGTCTGCAAAAGTTTCTACCTCAAGCTTACCATGGATTGAAAAATAGTAAGTTAAATAAATGTATTAATATCTAATTACTTTTACGCTTAATGTAAAAATTTTTTTTTAAAAAAAAAAGTCGACCCAGGTCCTTAGATAATATAAGTGCTCAAGAAGAGACTTTAATAACGTTGAGAAGTTCCAAAGATAATGTAAGTACCAAGAATTAATTATAAGCTAATTTTACTTGAAGGCTTACGTATCTTTATTTTTAAGTTACCTCACATGTTGTTTTACGGGCCTCCGGGAACTGGGAAAACTTCTACGATCTTGGCACTTTCACGCGAACTTTTTGGGTACTAATTACGTTTCTAGCATCAATTAATTATTAATTCGAAATAATGATCCGTTAAATTTTGTATAGACCGGAATTGATGAAAACTCGTGTCTTAGAGTTAAATGCTTCGCATGAGCGCGGAATTGATGTGATTAGAGAAAGAGTAAAGAATTATGCGCGATCATTTATTATTAACGATATTAATAAGTAATGCGTATATGAACTTTCATTTATTGACTTTGCATTTTGTATGAACTTGTTATATAAATTATAAATTTAATCTATCAACTTTTGGATTTACAGAAAAGGTCCCGGGTTTAAAATTATAATCTTGGATGAAGCAGATTCTCTGACTAAAGACGCTCAAGAAGCTTTGAGACGCACGATGGAAAAATATTCCGAACTTACTCGGTTTTGTCTCATTTGCAATCAAGTATCTTGGTTGGTTTTAGTATAAACCATAATTTATGCTATTCGTTCCATTTAACATATTAATAACTCGATATTTTTAGCATTATTCCAGCGCTGAAATCTCGTTGTACATTGTTTCGGTTCAAGAACATAGGCACTGAAAATATGAGAAATCGTCTTGCTTATATTTGTGAGCAAGAAGGAATAAGTTATTATCAAGAGGTATAATTTCTTTTGAGATCGTTTACGCATAATTAACAAAGATATTATATTTATATATGATAAGAAATATTGTATGTAATCTATTTAGACACTGGATGAATTGATCAAAGGCTCTCAAGGAGATCTAAGAAAAGCGATTACCTGGCTTAACAATGCATCTAAACTTCACATAAATGATAAAGTCACGGTCGAAACAATCAAAGAAACTGCCGGGGTACGTAAATTTTTAGGCTGTCTTTTCGTTCCCAAGTGAATAGTGGATATAATTATTCTTACCTTTCATCCTAGATTGTACCAGATGATGTAATTAATGGTTTAATAGAAAGTGCCGCGAGCAAATCTTATGATAAGATTCAAGAGACTGTTAGCGATGTTATTGCATCCGGATATTTTGCAAAGCAGATAATAGAACAGGTAATGTTGTACCATGCAAATTTATTTTTTACCGCAATAATGATTTATTAATATTAATTTATGGCTTAGGTTTTCTTTCAAGTACTCAAAGATCTACGATTTAATGAAAAGCATAAATTTAATATAGGAGAAAGGTTAGGAATAATAGACAAACGGCTGGCTGATGGAGCTTGTGAACTTTTCCAAGTTCTTTCTTTGATGTGTACAATTTCAGAAAATATGGATTAAAAAAAAAATGAGGACATAACATCATAGGACATGATCCACAATATATTATAAACTAGTTTAAAGAAAGTATTTAAACTAATTTCAGTCTAATAGCGATCCTTCTGTCATATACATACACCCATTTTTGACTATTTTTAGTAACTTAGATACTTCTCGGCAATGCAAAGCTAGATCTCTTGAATTTATGTATTGAATTATTGTTGCTTTACTGATAACACGAGTGTATAAACGAATCACTTCTTGATGTAAAATTTCGTCATAACGAATACTGACAAATTTTCGTTAGATTATTTATATCATCCTGATGTTGCTATCAAATCTGCTTGGTTTCGTTTTTCTGTTCAATTTTTCCCAATGGAGGATTCTAAACTGAATCAATAAATTCTTGGTATTTTGATAATTATTAATAAACTTTCTTGATAAACTGCATCAACTATACGGAGGGTAAAAACCCTTAACGAATCGTAACTAATTCATACTAAATTTTGTAAAGGGTTAGGGGTTAAACAGTAAATGATAATTTGCTAAAACATGCTGAAATTAAATTTATTATTAATAAAAATTATTTAATTAATATGGTTATTTAAAACATTCATTAATAATATAAAATCTTAATATTTTTATATAAAAATTTTGAGTTAAACAATTTTAAAATTTTATCTTGTAATAAATCAGCAATTATAATATATATTAAGCCAATTATCACTTTTTTTTCCTTAAACTATAAATCATTTATTTTAAAAATAAATAGTAATATAAATTTATAAAGTTCAATATTTTATAAATTATAAGAATATTAATATGAAAGTATTATTATAGTATTATTAATAATCATAATTTTATAAATTATTACAGAAATTTGTAAGGTAAATTAGCATATCATCTAAAACAATTTTAAAAATTTTTATAAAATCATTTAAAATTTTTTATTTTTATTAATTTTAATATTAATAATATATTAAGTATTTTTTCAAAAATTAATTATTATTATATTTCAACAAATCAATTATATCTTTAATTGGATTGCAATATATATATATTGCAATCTAGTTATGTTAGATTATTATCTAGATATACAGTATATTACTTCATAATTTTATTTTATTAAGTCACATAATTTGTTTTCCTATTTGCCTATAATTTTTTTATTATTAAGAAACTATTTATGTATTTATATTATTCTGTATTCTTTTTATATTTAAAAGAGCTATCCATTTATTTACTTGCTTCTGGGTTTAATTAATAATCTGTTAATGTATCAAGGATGCTTCCTTTTTACATCAGTTTAGTAATCTTTTAAGATACTAAAATAGTGTAAAAAAAGCATTGAGTAATACAGTAAAATTCACTATTAATTTTAGCTGGCTCTATTAAATAATTTTAGCTGATTTTTAAAGTATGTGATTTGAGAATCCATCTTAACGTTATGGTAGTATTTTAAAAATATAATAAAGCTAGCAAGGAACTAGCCAAGAACTAGAGTAGTTCTATTAATTTGCTAGTTTTAGATTACTTTTATGTTAACTTAGATGCTAATCTAAAATTTTAGCTAAAATTATAGAATAGTGCTAACCATATTTATTACGTCTTATATTATTTCATATATAAAATCTTTCTTATTCTTAGTTTATAAGAGATACACTAATAAGACCTTTTATATTTTTTTTTGCCAAAGAATTTTTAAATATATCAGAAAATCTGTCTTAGTAAACTAAGACATTTTAGTAAACTAAAATAAGAATTAGAATGGATTTTAATATGAAAGAAAAGCTTTTTTCTTTATTTTAACTTGTTCTTATTTATTATGTTCTAGTTGTCATAATTGTTTTAATAAAAAGTAATATTCTATAAAAAAAATTGTAACTATTCCTATGCTATATTTTTATAGTATATATTTTTAGATTCCTCAAAATCAAATTAAATTAAATATTGAAACAATTTAAATTAAATCAAATATTTGTCAAATTAAATTAAATTAAATTAAATTAAATATTTATCAAATCAAATCAAATCAAATCAAATCAAATATTTGATCAAATTAAAATTGAATTTTTAATTTTTATAATAATATATTAAAATAAAGCTATAATGAAGCAGATTATTAGTAATTACATTAAAAAATTTCAAAGATAGCTTTAACAAAGTAAGTTTAATAATAGGTGAATTTTTACTATGAAAACTTAATAATACAACATCACAACTTTAGTTTAACTAAGAAAACTTAGTAAAATAACTTCACAGCTTTGATATTATTAAAAAAACTTAATAATTATTATTGTTATAAAACGCAAACATAAATATGAACTGTTCGCTCCTATATGAACATAATATTTTTATATTCAAAATATTTAAACAAATTTTTAATTTTTATTAGCTGATCATCATGTAAGATCAAACTAGAAACGTGTGGTTAATGTCAAAAATCAACTTTACTATACCAATCATTAGTAACCTATATGTAATAAGTCTATTAAATACTATACTAAATGATATATAATAAGATTCCTAATTTCTTTAATCCTACAGAACTGACTGATAAGCCTGATATCTATAATTTCACTTATTTTTATTATTTTTATTATATTTATTATAACTATTATTTTAATTATATTTACTATATTTTATATACTTGTTATATTATATATATTAGCAGTTATAGTTACAAATTTAGTTAGTTTATAGCATAAAAATTAATTAGCTATAGTAAATTTATTTTATATGAATAGAATAGTTTTTTACTTAGGTTGTAAATTAACTTAATTACCAGTTTAAAACTTAATTACTAATTTATAACTTTTTTATAAGTTTTATAACTTTTGCGAGTATTAAGTAATAAAGGAATCAACTTTAAAACATAATTACTTTTTCTTCTATGTATCTATTATTTAAGATTTGATCATAAATTACTACACTAACTGTTTTTGAGTTAGACACTTAGAATAAATAAATTCCCTAAGTTTCATTTAAATCTCTAAACCTTTAACTGTAAGCAGGGTTAGGAAGTATAGTGTTAGTATCATGATTAGTATAGTTAGTATTATTAGTACCGTTATCTTATAATACTAATAACTGAAAATTATTATTAACACAAGATTAACAAAGGATTTAGCTTTAAGACTTTATAATACGATTTATGGAAAGCTTCTGAAGATATATCGATCAATGTATTTTAGAGACAAAGGTGATTATAGGTAAACAAT